ATACCGTGACATCGTCCATTCGAAAATAAAGAGGGCTCACGTCTGCTGAGGACCAATATCTATCCAGAATGTCTCTAGTTAGACATTGCTTGCTTCCAAACGGGGCTCGGATGATCTCACAAAGATATAGGCCTGCATTCAAGCAAGGTGGCCAGTAGGATAACAACAAAAGATATCACGATAAAGTACCAGAGCGCCCGCCGAGCGTGATGGACCTTGACGGAGCCATTCTCTAGGCGTGAATAGAACTGGAGGAGACACAGTTTCATACACCAGAGACTGTAAGCAAAAGAAATCAACACAAATCAGCTGAGATGCACTTTTCAAAGCTATTTCTAAGACCGTAACCACATTCACGTACAATAGAGCATAGGTTACCCGAGAAGGGATAACTAATTTCTTCGCTAGAGTGTCATCGCCGGGAGTCTCAGTTGCGCGGAGATGGAAGAACCAGGCGATGCAGACCGATCGAGAGATCAAAGGCAGAAGCGAAAAAGCCATCCAGCTATCGTCCGAATGCCATCTTTGCTGGATTGCCGGGTGGGCTTTGAGAGTGCCGAGGAGCCTGTAAGTGCAGCGGAAGATGATCTGTACGGTGATGATCGTGGCGGCAACCACAATCAGGGTTGTTTCTGTCATCCATTTCATTGAATAATGGAGAAATCATCGAGGATGCTGGCATAGGAAACGAGCAGCAGGGCAGCATTCCATAACAAAGGGAATGTGAGTGCAAGAGACAAACGGCGCCGTCATGAAGCACCGTGAGGTAGTTAGACCAGAATCAGATGGATCCTTGGGCAGAAAGACAGACGGGAAAAAGCTTAGATTGCTGAGCTGGGCGCACGAAACCGATGATAGCTCGCCGGATATTATCCTCCTGGATAAAAATGGAACTAATTAGCGGCGACCAAGTGCAGGTCGGTGTGCTCCGGTTGACACGAGCTCTTCGTCGCGAGCACGACAGGGAAGCTCCAGCAGAGCCTGTGACGGAAGCGGGCTGTCTTGTCCAACCCTGGAGAATCGCCATGAATGCTTTTCGTGTCTCTGAGCCCAGCTGGTTGGCTGCTGGGCCGGGAATCGTCACGATCATTTTTCGTTCAGCTTGGGGGTTGCTCAGACTGACCCAGTTCGTATTCCGTGTCATCGGATTCTGGAGCACAGCCGAGGCTCTGAAGGATTGCTCTTCCAACCGCTTGCCAATTGGCCCGGGAAACGAGCGCACGCCGGGTTGGTGGCCGGTTAAGAAGCAGCCGGGGCTTTGAGGATATTTTTAGTGACTAGTTAACGAAGTTAGCGATCCAAGGCTCACTCGCGTCTCAAGGCATGGATGCATGCCAACACAGAGAACGAATGTCGGTTGTGATCCCTGCTCGAAGACAAGATAGCCATTTGAACGAAGCAGGACATTTAATAGAATCGTAGCGGCTTCTGAGCCACTGGAAGAACCTCCTTCATAGCGACATCGTCAAGATCTAATCCAGCGGTATAGTTGTTTTTATTGTTTTACAAGGGGAGGTCGAGGGGGATACTCCCAGATTTTATATACAAAAGGATTGTACGGAATACTGTCTAATTATTCGTGGACCGCTGTGATATCCGGAACCATAATAATTATCCGATCTTCTAGCTATGGCAATAACATCCTCCATCCGAGCCTGTTTCTACTGAGCTCGACATTTTCGACCCGGAACACCACCCTTCCTGCGGTCTTCAAACGTACACAGGCTGGCCCAACCTCGTGCATGCGGATGACGAGTAAGTAGATGTCCCGTAGCCTAGTGATGAACCCGAAGCCTATCATTCCTTCAAGAATACTATGATATCTGGGATGCTTTTAATCATGTATCCCCGCCTGAAGTTTGCTGGGCTTGAAGGCCAGCATAGTGTATATGTCAAACCAAAGATCCGTGAAAGGATTATAACCGCCCCTGGAGGCCCCGCGAGAAGGTTAAGACGGGAGCCTGGATATGCTCCTCTAGCGTTTTTGGATCATTCAAATGTGTACCTGAGATATCAGAAATCCTATCCTCAAGCCTCGCCAGTTCGGCCCGAATGCCGTGATCTTGAGGGCCACTGGAGAAACCAACCTGGCACGTGGACTTGCTAGCAAGCGCTCCAGGCGGAATAGCCTATACTCTTGAAATTATTGTAGAAGCTTGTTGCCTAAGGTTGTCCGAAGGCCTCAGGTTTACAAGAGTTGTGTGCTATGATTGTGGACGAATGGTAGATGGGGCAAGTTCTCTAGGGATGTGTTTGATACCTCGCGATTAGGTGCACATATCACCAAACTGCTTTCATCAGAGATACTGCCTACAGCTCGGTTATTGGTATAGATCAAGTGGATAGAAGTTCTTGATTGACGTAACCAATGTACATCATTCGAGTTTATCCAGATGCTCCAATCTCGTCAGAACGACTTGTTTGCTCGCCTCCTCAATCTCACCGGCGAGAAAAACTTCGTCAAGAATTGCGTAAACCTAAAGCCCCCATAATATTAGCCCACTAAATCACTCACTCGAGACAGAGCAGTTCCGCTCACCTTGTAGAAGTTGAACACCAAGTCTAACTCACACACATTCCCAAAAAACTGATCCAAAACTTCCACAAAGAAATGAATCGCTTCGAGATATGCTAGTTCATTATCATTCGCGTCAACGCATGCGCAGAAAAAAAGCCCTGCATAACGACGATAAACGATCTTTGTGCTGCGTCGGAATTCGACGAAATTAGACTGGTACTTTTGATCGCGAGGCGCGATGAGGCGGTGGACCTGTCACTCCAGGCATTTGTGAGTACCAATCTTGCCACTTATCAGGTATATGACCAGGAGGTAGGAAACGCCAATTTCGGTGTAGGATCCGGGGAATACGATCGTCATACCTCGCCCTTGAGTCTCACTTTCTCATCGTCCTAAGAGGCATCAGCTCGAGCCATAGATAGTTGGGTAGGAATATGAGAGAGCATACCGTGTATGGCGCGTACCACTTGGCCAGCCGAGTCTTCCCTCTGGCGGTTTCCATCAGCTCCCAGGCGGCCAGAATAATACGAAGCAGACTTACTGTCGGTTCTGGACAATGATAAAAGAGAGAACCATGCCTCTATTAATCCCCGTGAAGGAATGTTATAGTAGTATCAACATTGGGGCTTATTTTCTATGGAGAACACAGTGAGGAGTGGTGTGAGGAGTACGAAGTAGAGGCCTATTCCTACAAGCATTGCGTAGTTAACTAGCTAGTTAACTCGGTCGTTGGGGTTGTTTTGCGCATGCCACCGCCCTTCTCCTGCAAGGCTTCTATATGTTCGAGCCTTTGGCCCTTTGGATAATTATTGCGCTGAAGCATGAGGAGATCAAGGATAGGTTTATGCGTAAGTTATTCCTAATACGACAGCAGTTCGTACGTCTGTTTGACACGAGCTTCACCTGATATAATACATTATCACAATCAAAAGGGGACCATTTCTGGAAGCCTAGATGAGATTGCCCGTTTTAACTAGTTATGGAGTACTCCGAATCGCCCGAACAAATTGTCTTTTTAGAGTCTGGCTTCGCCTTTTGACTTTCACTCTGATGAGAGCACCCATTTCATTCACTCACTTGTCTCCTTAGATTCATCATCTTCACTTCCTTCCTGTTCCGATGAGTTATCCCCACCGTTGGCCTCGGGTGTTGGAAAGGCTCTCTTCGGATCACCGTTGTACACGATCCACCACCCAATTTTCTCCTCTGGCGCCAAAAATTCTCTTAACCTCCTCAATGCCTCCGGTCCGCCGGGAGAGAGCTCGGGCCCCTTATCCATAACCTCGCCCATATTTAAACTCAATAACCGCCCGGGCTGTTCCTCATCAGGCATTGTAATCACTTTTGCTGCAACATATGCGTAGGGCTGGCTAAGTGCCGAATCACTGATATCATCGGGATCATATTGCTCTAAAATACGTAGACCGGGTAAGTGATAAGCGATGTTCGGGTCGATGCGCTTGAAGGATTGTAGGATGGCCCGTGATGTGGCTGATTCTTGAAGGTATTCAGCTGCAGCGTCGAGGAGGTTATAGGAAACAATATGTGCGCGAATTCCGGGCGCATTCAAGGTGCCCAGTCGAGGCCAGCGGAAGCCGTAGAGAACGTAGACAACCATGATCAATAAAGGCCAGGACGCTTCAACGATCTGCAATGAAATCAGCACTGGCACGCATCATATTTTGGTCAGTTTCCGGAATCAATGGTACGAAAGCGAAAGCTATCGCTGGGATCATGATCAACCAGAGCGAGTCGTGGCCTGTATGGGCAGGGTGTTTGGAAGATAACTAATACCCCCGCCTGTTACATGATCACGTGATTGATCACCTTGGCCCGTTGCTTGTGTTCATCGCGCATTTCCCCGGAATCAGTTACTCCAATGCACGCTGGAACACAATCTCGGGATATACTCCGTACAGACCAGGAAAATATGTTATATAGTCGTCTCTTGATGTTTTTTCCAAGCATTGTCAAAGATATCTCTGCAAACAGCATAATCACGAATGAAGTCCCTCTCTAAGTCATGTGTTCTCTTTCCTAGCAGAATCAGGCAATGCAAGGGTTCTCCCATGTCTATCTCTGTTAGCTGCTTTAGAGTGCCAACGGCTAATTTCTGATCTTCAGCGCCGACTCGCGCAGCACCTATGGCAAGACTGTCGGGCCCATATACTGCCTCCTTTCGTTGCTCTTCAATCTCGAGCATTTGGCTCGCGCATTGTGCGACAGTCATGTACCGGGGAGGCTCATAGATCTTCTTTCCCCTAGCCATATTTTCCAACGACTGCTCCTTCACTTTTATATCGAGCAAAACAAGTGTGTGAAGGCCTATCTGGGCATTTTCCTTGATCCGATCATAGAAGGACGATGGTTTCCAGGTTTCGGTAAAGAACACCATACTGACTGTTTGGCCGAAGTTGTACAATTGTAACCCAGTACAGCCAATTGCTGACATGATGGATGCGTTTGGGATGGATTTCGTCGGAATACCGAGTTCCCGAGCCCGTAGGACGAGGTCAGTGTGTGTTGTGGCACTAACATAGAATCTCAGCGCTGGGATTCTCTGCGACGGTAAGAATCGGCTTACCCGAAGGGATCCCCAACAACCAAAAAGGCAACGTCTATTTTGTTTGCCTGGGCGAGTATCTCATCACTGCCGGTCTCAACGGCTTCGCGGTCCGCTATTTGAACTGGCCTGCCATAAAAGCTCTCCTTTAAAATTGAAGACTTGATATTAGTACGCAGTCGACAATATTCTAGCCATGATGGCGCACCAGTTTTTCTTTATCAACGAGAAGTATGCTGGTATATGCTTCTAAATATACTCGATCTGCCTTTTTAACAACCTCTAAGCCTTTGACCGTAATGTCCGTCTCATCGGCGAGACCCAGTCCCACTAAGTAGAGCATTATGGAAACTAAATGAAAAAATATCTCGGATTTGTACCCAGCCTACTTCTCAGAAGAGCTGGAAAACTAAAATAATAACCCTGTTGTTGGACGACTGAGTGAATTGATATTTCTTTCGTGGGATGTTTGTCCCGCTGATAAGAGCCCGGAAGATCAATGATCCGACCATCGCAGCTTCAACCTCCATCATCATGACTTCACTTCCTGCCCTGCACTGCGTATAGCTGCCTGCACCTCAGTAGTAATCTGCTTCTTTTGAATCTTTTGTCCGGCAACTACCCAAATCCTTACGCCGCCGTCACGGCCACCGTCATAATGGCGGACCGAAATGCGAAATACCGCCAGGAGATTCAACAGGTGTGTTTCCCTTAAATCTACCACCCATTCCGGAAACGTTCCTGTTTGCGTCTATCTCATGGTCCTGAGCGATCCATCGCTACTTTACGCCTATCTGTCTGTTGAAGGCATCGCTGAACTACAGCAATACTGTAAAATGAACTCCGGGGGATTTTTCCGGCTCATCAGTTGCAGCTGCTAGTTTTCTCCAAGCCATTCCTACGATACCCTTCCTCAATATGCCAGTTCCTGCCATGAAGATATCTATTTGCTTCTTCACAGGCCTAGAGTTATTTCTGTATTCTTTTTATGATTGCAACTTATGCAGCCATACCTCAAATCTTTTTCACTTAAGACAATCCGGCCAGAGCTTCTCATGGAATACTATGGAGCTCATGCACTGTGAGAACAGCACGTGATATTCCCCATCTCTTATATCAGCTCAGAATGTGTTGTGATACCTTCTTAGCTTTTATCAGTTGCTAGATGCTTCAAAAAACATGCTGTCAGGCCATACTACTATTTGAAAAATGACTTTACAGCTTGAGGCAGCCAAAAGGTGGTTGAACTTATCATCTGGGAGGCAAAATAATGAAGTCACAGCGCACCCTCTAGGAGCGCGTCAGCGACTGCTGATGCAAGCTCGACAAACAACAGATGTGGCACCTTCAAGCGAGCAGGTTCAGGACCATGAGTTGGACGGCTTCGCGTCAAATAAGGAATTTATGACTGATGTTATAGAGAAGATGATGTTTGTTTCCGGAGAGACAGCGGAACCGTCAGTGGAGACAACAACCTTAGTCGAAGAGATCGTGCGTCAACAAGTTATTGAAATGGTAAGAAGACCATTCCCAGTTGAATTGTTCTGATATACTGACATCCTCAAGCTTATCCGAAGCACTGCCCTCGCTGCTCGTCGGGGCGTCCGGTCTATTTCAACTGACGACCTCTTTTTCCTTATCCGTCATGACAAGGCTAAAGTTTCGCGACTGAAAACGTTCCTCTCCTGGAAGGACGTTCGCAAGAATGTAAAAGATTCTGACGACAAAGGCGGGGGAGATACGGCAGATTTTGGTGCTGGAGACGATCCTCTTGCGGGTGCTGCACAGGATGTCGCCGCTAAACCGAAAACTAAACGTGCTAAAATTGGTCTTCCATGGGACCTCAATAATCTCTATTCTGTTCAAGTTCCCGAACGTGAGGATGAAGAAGATGAAGAGGAGGAAGAGCAAAACTATGCGACTCTTCAACGTCTTGCGAACGCGGATGAGCGTACTAAGAATATGACCCGTGAAGAATATGTTTTCTGGTCCGACTGCCGACAAGCATCTTTCACTTTCCGCAAGGCCAAACGTTTCCGTGAATGGGCTGGCTTTGGCATTGTTACAGATTTTAAGCCGAACGACGATATTGTTGATATTTTGGGATTTCTCACTTTTGAGATTGTTCAGACCCTGACAGAAGAGGCTTTAAAGGTTAAAGAACAGGAAGATCGCGGCAAAAAAGGGCGTGGAGGCACTGAGGACGGAGGAGAGAAAAGCAAGAAACGCAAACGAGAGACCGGGCTTTTCGACCCCCCAGAAGAAGGTAGAACGCCTATTGAGCCAAAACACGTCCATGAAGCATTCCGTAAGCTGCAGGCTACCCCCAATAAAGCCGTTGCTATGTTGTTGCATGGGGGCCGTGCACCTGTTCGCACACCACTGAGGCTTGTAAGTATTCCACCTCGGGGCATGCGTTATGCCACAACTCTTAACGGAATTATGTGACTGACTGTTTGCCCTATAGATCTAGTATTAAATGGATAAACATTGGAGTTTTATGGTCGGGCTTATTCAAGGGTTCCATGGTGGTCGAATTGGTGGTCTACTGGGCATTTGGCAAGATAATACCCCCGGAGTTTGTGGAAGGAGCATTCCCCTGGCGAAATTGTCCTTTGTGTATAATTTGCTTAATCCCTACAAATGCCAAACATCGCAGATCTATTGCTTCTTTTCTATTTATCAACCATCTATTGGCTAAGCCTATGCGGCAGACTCTACTAGACCAGTGAACCAAAGCCATAATGGGCACTGGTGTCTAAAGAATAGCTCTCCAGTTAACACCATCTTTTATCAACTTGATGAACTAGCAGTATAGATATGTTTGAGCACAGCTTCCAATTCGGCTAGGAATCTCGTCACTTCTGCCTCTGTCCCCACTGTGATCCTTAGACACCCTTCGCATCCGTATTCTTTCCCTCTGAATCGAACCACAACCCCTTTCCGTTCTGCGAGGGATTGATACACGGCTAGAGCAACCTTGTTACAGGGCTTACCCCCATCCTGGCATGGCTTGTCCAAAATCTCCACAAGTAAAAAGTTGGACTCGGTGCCGCCGAGAAATCTCCCTACCCCGGGGACTTTAGGCAACTCTTTCAGCATGCGTTCCCGCTGAACGATAATCTTCTCCCTATTTCTTCGCATCACTGCGAGATTAGCGGGCGACAACGCAGCTTTTGCCAACGCACTGGTAGGACTGGAGATGTTGTATGGCGCCTTGAGGCTGTTCAACATTCTCGCAATTTCTGGACTTGTGAATGCAACCCCCAATCGGATTCCAGCTAGCCCAAAAGCCTTACTTAGAGTCTGCATGACTACCAGATTCGGCCATTCGGTAACCCATTCTGCTAAGCTGGACCCTTCAGGCGCAAAATCTATATACGCCTCGTCCACGACGACAACACCATTCCAGGTAGGGTGCTCGAGCACTTTTTGTATATCCTCTTTTCGAATCAAGTTTGCTGTGGGATTCCCGGGGGAGCAGATATACACCATCTTGATGTCTGCGGTTCCCGAAAGGGTCGCATTAATTGCGTCGGGGCGCAATTGGAACCCGTTGTCCGTGTCCAAGGGTACTTTGACGATTCCAACATCGTTTACGTGTGCACTGACAGAATACATTCCGTATGTGGGCGGGCAAGTTAGGATCTTATCCTTGCCGGGAACGCAGAAACATCGGAGTAGGGCGTCAATCGCCTCGTCAGATCCCACGCCGACGAAGAGATTCGATGGGTCCAGGTCCTTTTCGGTGTGAGCGTGAGTGTTTCGTAGATCGCAGAGAAGTGCCTTTAGCTCTAATTGATGTCTTAATTGTGAATTCCGTTCAGGTTAGCCGCTTCATCAGTCAAGTGGCGGGGTAAAGATTGTCTAAACTCACGGGTCAGGATAGCGATTGAGGCCTAGAAAATCAAGATCTGGGGCCTTCCCGCTTGTGGTTACATTTTCAAGGCTCCCGTCGTCCGTCAGGGCCAGTCCGGGGCCGTATGCGTTCTCATTTGCGTCGAGAAGGACGTTCGTTCCATCATCCTTATAGTCACTTGAGTCATATTAGTTGAGGGGTTGCTGTCTGATGGCCAAGGATCAATCTTACTCTCTTGCACACCTATATGGCTCCAGTTGCAAAATATTCGCTCTTGCACATTTTGTTAAGTCAAATGGGCCTTTTCTGGACATGATGAATAGCTCAAGCTGGGATTAGTTGCAAATTGAAAGAGAGTCCAATGGGGATTGCACAGAGCTAGTTTCAAGATTTTGCGGTGGAACATCAAGAGTGAACTACTATAGAGAGTTCAGATTGCAGGTATCATGAATGACTTCTTGATGAGCCAAAGAATGAGTCATATAGAAAAAAAGGGAAAACTGCCAAAAATTGATTTAACATTTTTTTTCTGATATATACAAAATCCCAGTGATATCTAGCCAGCCCGGTCTATTCAATACCTAACTCCGAAATATGCTAGCTACCTTGTGTTCTAGAACAACAAAGCTGATGAAACCCAAGGATCCATTTATCCTTGATTCATTATATATAAGAGCGACAGTCAGTTAACATATCGCCGCATTAGTCCGTTTTGTGGGTTGAGTTGCTGTCAGAAGTGGAGGATGACGCCTTTGAGTTGGAATATTTAGCCCTTTTTCCCTTTAAGTATCGAACGGTGTTTTTGAATCCAGCCGTGACAATTCCCTTGATGCTCTGACTTGTACTCGGCCAGGAAATAGTCTTCTTGATGGACTTCGACACTTCCTCCTTCAAATGACTTTCGGCTGCGATCTTTCGGTCAAAGGTAGTTCCTTGACGACGGTGAATGCGATCTGGGTCTTCATCCGTGCTTTCTTCCATCATCTTGTTAAACTCAGATCGAGGTATTTGAAATCGAGATTGGTATTGGAAATAGAGCTTCTCCCGGAATGACTGAGGTAGCCTGCGGACCATATTCCCTCGTTTGACTGGATCCATATCTTGCGCTAACTTAACATTGATTTCTGGGTCATCTATCCAGGAAGCATCGCTGCAGCTGGGGTCATTGAAAGAAACATTGGGCAGCGTGTCAATCAGCGGCGCGTATAGCCGGCGGAAGTTTGCCATCTGTGCAGAGACGATATTGTTGATCTTTTTGGGATCCTCTGAGCCAAAAGACATTCGTGGGTCTCCCATATAACTGATACCTGCAATTGTCGTATACAGTTGGCTTTCAGTAAAATCGGGCGGGAGAAGTAATAATGCAACACGGACTGCTGAGAGAAGGTTCATTTGGTTCGCCAGGCGGACTTTGGGATGATCGCGGAGAATTTTGACTGGCTTGTGAAGTCTCCCAACGAGATAAAGAGTGTCCCATTCACTAAGATCTTTGCACAAAGTGTCAATGTTAACGACCCCATATTTTATAAGGGTCCCGTTCACAGTCACATAAGGGTTGAAGTAGACACCAGCTCCGATTTTCTCTTGCACTTGCGAAACTACATAAGAGCCCAGTGACCCAATGGCAGAGTAGTGATCGCGATGCTGATTCAAATTAAGAGAATGCCAATGCTGGCTGTAGGACACTCCAAAAATAAAGTCGATCATCTTTCCTCCACCTTTTTGCATTCTTTGAATGGTAACCGGTGCAGCAGGATGACAGCTTTCACCGCTGGCTGTGCCAGACTGTGGAAACACTCCGGAGCCATATGCAAATGCATATCTGATTGGTGCTCGAAACTGCCAGAGGATCTGACGCAATGCTTCTTTAAACTCTTGGTTGATGATCATATGCTGATTAGTCCCGAAGTCTCTTGATGGCAGTTGCGCAAACGTTGAGATAGAGAAATCGGGATTCTCTTCCCAATCTGATTCAATACTGGAGCCGGCTGTGAATGGCTTGGGGGCTTCATTTCTCCCTGCCGAAACATGACTTTTATTCTGGTGCGCAGCAGCGTTGAACCCTGGGGGAGGTCCGCCGTCTTTACCTGATGGATTGGGAGTTGAATCCGTGGAAAGCGGCCGGGAAAAATATGGAGGGCGGACCTGGGAGAGGTACGATGAACGGAAGAATATATATCGAGGAGATGCGCCCAGTCTGGGTCCTATGGTCTAGGACACTGTTAATTAGCGTCGTGGTGGGAGAGCTCAAGTACTTGAGGATGCGCTTACATGGAGCTGCCGCATAGCGATCGGAAACGGGAAGCACAGCACGAGCTGTAAGTGTAATGTAAAGTGGCGGACATGGGCATTGGCACCTCGCCTCTCACGTCCGGACTCGTTGAATTGCACAAGCCTCGAGTGAATGCAAGCAACAAGCAGACGAGAAGTTGGGATCCTTTTGCGGCCAACAGGATCCTGCACGATTATGTAAGAAAGAGCTCCGGTCACGTGGTCGGGGTGCTTTATTAGTCAGCATCGCGTACGTCAATCCAAACAAACTGGCAATGTAAACACAGGACGACTCGGACAATCGCACGCACGCACGCACACAATAACCCCTCAGTACAATTGCAGTGTTTTGGATAGGTGGCTCGGGTGCCACAGATGGTGGTGATACAGAGCCTGATTTTGCACTATGACACATATTGGAATGGACACGGAGTCAGCGCGGCTCCAAAGCTTCAGGATCGCGCACCGACCGGCTTCTAAAGGAAGGACCTCTGCTACAAAGGCAAAACCGATTACTTGGCCGCATAGAAAACCGTCACCCGAAGAGGTATTTTCTCGCTGCCATGTGCTTCTATTCTAGCTATTAATGTGCCTTCAGCTAGCCCATGCCGGATTCTACTACCAACCAACGGACATCAGCCCAGACAACACAGCTTGTTTCCTTTGTCAATATGCCTTAGATGGTTGGGAGGAGGAAGATGATCCGATCACAGAACATCTAAGGCATTCTAGCGAATGCGGGTGGGCGGTGATGATGGATATCACGCGCCGCTCCTCCAATCCAGCCGAGATTGTGGACCCAACGAGCGTTGAAATTGTGGAAGCACGGAGAGCAACTTTTGGTACATGGTGGCCTTATGATGGCAAGAAAGGATGGAAATGCAAAATGGAAAAGGTTGACTTGCAAATGAATCCCTCCCATCTCATATTATGAAGGCTAACGTCACCACTTTGGCAGATGGTAGAAGCGGGGTGGTACTTCTGCCCGAACGACGAAAGCGATGATTTCGTTAGCTGTGCGTATTGTGATCTGGGGCTGGATGGCTGGGAACGCGGGGACGACCCATTGTACGGCCGTCATTAAATCGCTCTTTCCATGTGCATCAAGCTGACCTGCTGCTGTTTAGTTACGAGCATTATCGCCGGTCTCCGGAATGTTCTTTCTTTCATTTCGCACCGATCCCAGGAAAGAAGGGAACGAAAGGTCGCAGCATGAGTTCTCGCTCGTCCAAGGCTTCGCGAGTTTCAACTCAATCAACATTAAGCGCATGGTCGGAAGTAGAAACGACAGATCTGGATAGCGAAATGGAACATAGTTTACTCTCACAGCCAGCCAAGAATGCAGCGAAGTCTACGAAAGGAAGAAAGGGGAGGAAGCCAAAGTTAAAAAAGGATGAGATGGCTGAGAATAGCGGGCAGGAAAACGATCCCGACCACAACACAAAGGTTGCCGAGCCGCAAGCAAAGAAACAGCGAGAGAGGAAGCGGAAAAGCTCAGAAATGACCCAAGATCAGGAACCGCAAGGGACTCAAGCTTCTAGCGTTGTCTCGGGACCGGCAGCCAAAAGACGAGACACGGGTGCCAGGAAGGCCAGCACCGCCAAAAGCAATATATTTCCTGATGGGACGGATGACGAATTGAATGCACCCGTTGAGCCGGTTAAAGTTGAGAAGCAGACCACTAAGAAAACAACGAAAAAAAGGAGCACATCTACAAATCGCGTCCCATCGGCTACCTCTAAAGCATTGTTAAAATCGCAGATTCCGGACGATGCGGAGATCGAAGCTGAGTTGGAAGCTGACCTGAAGCGAGATAGCATGGATTATATCCAAGCTAAACCGGCGGTGGCTCACAAAGACTATATTTCCAAACAGGATGATATTTCGTCAACAGAGACACGTACACTGACCCATAAAGGGACTAAAAGAAACAAAAATGCCGAAACTCCCCAAGACCACATCGACGATGTGGAAAAGCCTGGTCGTAAAAGAGTTCAAGGAAAAAAGAAAACTGCGAAGAAAAGCGCAGTTCAGCGACAAAACGAGGAAGAGGTCAACAGCGAAGGGCGAATCTTCGAAGCCGAAAGCGATGCTCACATGGATATCGACGGTGGTCAACTAATCTCCCTTGAACGGCCAAAAGTGTTAGATGAAACCCTTGATACACAATCTTCTGAAAAGATAAGACCTCTTAGTGGTCGGAACGAGCCTCGAAGCAATAAATCAGACGCCCACAAGCAAAGGCCTCTTCTAGATGTCGATGATAAGGAACAGCCGGACTCGATTTTCGATGAAAACCAGAGGTCGGCAGTATCTCCGCGAGCTACGAACGGATCCCCGTCAGGTCTTATTGAGAATAAATTGCCGTGGGGGTCAAGATCACGAAAGATATCTGAACGGCATACACACCTAGATAGAACTGCACATCGCGCGTCTAATCCCGCACCATCACCTCAAACCCAGGAGCGTACACCTTCTCCATCGCCACAATCGAAAAGACGCTGAAAATCGGCCCCCTTCAACTAGGCCGTCAAATCAAA